ACTTGTGGTAGTAGTATTAAGTCTCATACTGGTACCAATTAACCGACTGATTTAATATCGTTACTTTGTCGAGTGAGTGACGAACGTCTTTTCCATCGATTTCCATATTTATGCATATGCATGGCAAAATTTAGGTTTAAAGTTGGATTTCGATAAAATATGATTTAATTTAACTATACAGTTGTACTACTGAATAGCAAAAGTAGTTAGAAAGCCGATCACACTGCTCTGTAGGTTTGACTAGCTGGATCACAGTAATCTAGGCGCACCGGAAAGCCATTTCGCTCGTTTGGGTCTTTAGATCAGTCTGATCTGCTAGGTGAAATGTTCATAACAGATCACTGTGAGTGGTTTCTAACTATCTATGTCGTTCAATAATATATTTTGCCAGTTCATGACACCTTTATGTGTAATTATTGCATAGAATACTACTAGCTTTTCTGTTATGCAATTAGTCTAGAACGAAAGTGTGTGTAATCTCTCTTGACGCATTCTTCGTATAATATACTTATGTAAATTAAATTCTCTTAATTACTGAAAAAATGTGATTTTTCTCATCGTGTGGATACATTCTTTCTTTCTTTCTTTCTCTCTCTCTCTCTCTCTGCAAGTGCCATACCAAAAGTGATATCTATAATATGTACTGTAATACTAATAGTACTACTACTACGACTACCACAATTATTATTAATAGAGAGGAAGTATGTCTCTCCTATGCATGCATTCTTTTTATCAATTCAGTAACTATTTACAATTTGTTCTCAGGAATTTACTATGAGATTCCTTTGTAAACAATCAATCTATGCATGACAAAACGTATACGCGTTTCTTGGTTGATTAAACTCTAAACTCGGTACAATCTTAACTTCTCATAAAATACTTTAAGTATTTGAGAAATATTTCTACGTGTTTTATTACATTTCTATAACTTCAAGCAGTCATCCTTCAGTATTATTGGCTTTAAGGAATGAAGAATATTGTAAACCGGTGTACTGATTCATCAGATGAATGATCTATTCAAGCGACCAATCGAAATTATTCCATGCTATTTAGTGTAGCATAACGTACCTGTTGATCAGAGCGAAATGTTTATAGGACTTAATGAAAGATGTGTGCATCAAATGAAGTCAGTGTGCTTTACTTTATCAAAACAGGGAAATTAACAAGAATGATATCAAAAACCACGAAGATATTGATATAATTGATGCGGAAATGCAAATCTGTGGAGCCAGGGAACAAACTGTAAGATTGATATGAAAATACAACTTATGTGTATTTGCTACACATACCAATTTATAAACACAAATTACTGTTGGTTTAAGAACCTAACCCAAGAATTTGGCCCTTCTCTTAAGAGCTAAGATGAATTGTCGGTGAATTTATTTGTTAGCTCCATATTTTGCTAGCTACAGCATTTTTTTCATGCAAGAGTATTCTGTTTTGCTGTAAGGCATCTGACTTGATACTTGAAAGATACCTATTCCAGTTTTTATTTGATAATTTTTCGCAAATCGAAATATTTTATATCAGTGCTTAAGAGAATAATTTTTCATATTATGACACATATACCCAAGTCATTTGGTTAACCTGATGATGATGACCAGATAATACAACTGTTTGGCGTCGTGTAAAATGACTTGGTGGAGGGGTAGAATGGATAAACGCAGAAAACTCTTCCCATCCCATCCAAACTAATGCTGCCTTACTTGTTCTCACCTACACTCAAGCAGAAGAAGTAAATTGCTGTTAGCTGCTTGGAGGCTATCAGCAGAAGGTTCTGAACCTAGGTTTCGCCCTCGTCGGGACAGCAAGGTGTACCTGTAACCTCGAGAGGACGAAACCTGCGTCGCCCAGTGCTTTAGTCAAAGACGTTACCACTGAGCTATTCGGGCTGCGACTAACCTATTGTACGACTAGATTAGATACAGCAACTGATCACTCTAGGAGTAGCCAATTTTGTATTGTCTAGATGATATCAGTTCTCTCAAGACTGCAGATCCGCCAAGCACACAACGTTGGTTCAAGACTTCTTGTCGATTGCTTCCAACCAGCTGATATCTATAAAAGTGCGTGACGATGATAGGTCAACTCTCTGGACTAGATAACACAAAATTGGCTACTCTCCAGTAACCAATGTAAGAAAATTGTTTGATTGTTTCACTTTGTTGGTTAGTTTTTGTGATGGGCTGATGGCTTATGAAATACTAGTGCGTATTCAAAAAGATACTCTGCAACTTGCTCCCTTTATGGTGTCTATAAAATTTATTCCTGTACCATAATATTCATATGCATCCTTTAGTTTATTGCAACCTAAATTAACACCTGTTAAGCGCAGATAAGTTGTTATGCTGACACGCAACTGTCATTAATGCATTTTCACGAATACCCTTGTGTGCACTGAAACAATTGAGTGTACAGTGTCGAAACGAGGTGATACGGATTAGTTAATTTAGTGTTTTAGTGCGATATGTACTCAATTATCACTGATATCAACTGGCGTTGTTGTAAGATTCGGAATTCGGATGGCAAGTCGCCTAAGAGGGCTTACCGGTCGGTTGTTATATTTCAGATTGTGTGTATGTGTGTGTGTGTGTGTGTAGGCGCGTTATATCAACGTCTGGGATACAGGTAGTCTGTGGTTGAATTGGTTAGATGATTTTGTTTAGAAATCATTCATGTGGATATTTTTTATCCAGTTCTGATGACTTAAACGGTGGTCATTTTGTATACCTGATTATTTCCAACGGATCGTCAGGTATCTGTAAATAGTTATAGGCGTAAGGTGATCAAAATATAACATTACAAAATAAAAGTAATTGACCTGTAATTATTGAGAATAGTTCTGAAATCGATTTTATAACTGTAGAACCTGATGAGAAGTTATTGAAAAGAATATTCTCCGTTCATATTTGACTTTAACATATAAAATGGGGATTTGCTTGTTCACTCACCTGCACTACATTGATCTTTGTTCCATTTCACAATGTAATTGGATGATCGTAAAGGTCACCTTCTGTGGCAAACTTGAATATCAACCTGAAAACTTTATGTCAGATTCTTACTCCTGAAAAGGATCGTTCTAGGAAGATCGAAACGTTAAGGAATAAGACAAGATACTTGTTTATTTTATCATTTGTTCTACGCCGGGATTACACAAGTAGAGATACACCGTATGCGATGAATATTTCTGAAATTACAAATGATAAGGTACAAACAACTATTATTTTTTGACCGAGCTAAGATTATTTCAGTCAATCAGTAAGAAGCTGAATGTTATTGACTGATACAGTTTCATTTCGTCTTTATTTAGGATACCTGTTTTATGTTGGTTTGCGAAAAATAACTTCATAGTATGAAAAATTCCTGAGAGAATTTGTTTAAATGCTTAAACTATGTCAATAATTTCGACAGCATTTATATGGTATCAGTTGTTTTCTTTGCTTTTCATAGCCTTAGATTTCCTTTCTCTGTTAGTTTTGTTACTTTCTACCATTGACTTTTCATGTCATGTCTAAACGGACATCGAAGGCTGTGCTTATAGAAACGAAACCTGGCGGAATGGTCGAAATTATCAGTACATTCATAGTCGTCTACGCTTAAAATATCTGCAATTATATGATTTTCTGATGAATGTTTATTGTTTATTGAATTTATTTACGAGATCATGTGACATAGCCATGAGCTGGCAGACTGGTTTTGTTAGTACTGGGTAACGATTGGAGATAAAATGATACGCTGGGTCGCGGCAGGATTCAAACCATTGACTTTTGCGTTACCGACCTGGAATCCTACCAAACGAACTAAGGAGACATAGCTGCTTCTCTTCTCTAGTTCAGTTGAATTTGAATTGAGCCAAGAAGATGTGTGATTACAATGAAGGGATAGGGAAAAATCACAGATTTACTTATCAGCCGTTCAAAATTCTCATTGATTAGAATGAACTAGTTGGTAGTTGAGTCTGGCTGAGTTGGTAACCTGGAGACCTCTAGTTTTGACCATGTCTTGACCCACCTCTTCATCATTCCACCTTCAATTACCGCGCCTAATATTATGTTGAGATATCTATCAATAAATAACTCACTGTACTATTATAATATCAGCTTTCTACACACCACCACATTCTTTTAATTTTCGCAGTTATAAAAAGTCGAACATGTTTATTATACTACTCCTAGATCGGTTTATATTGAAACTACCGGTTTGACTTAGATTGTAACATAGGTTTTCCGTCAGTTTCAAGTGTTAAGGTAATTACAGTTTTTCGTATCATTTCCTCCAACAGATAGGTTGTTTTGTTGTTGTGACGTAATTGTTGCCGATTATGAGGGAAAATGACCGAATGCGCTCAATAAGAAGGATGTAATGTAGCGTAGTGTAGCCGAGTGGTTAGTAGTGCTCACAAGATTGAAGTAATCGACAAACTGATTGCACTCGATTTTTTTAAAATTATCCTAAAATCTGATTAATGATCAAGAAAACTGATGTATGTATCTTATCGTTTCACAAATCATATTGCTTAATCAAACTAAACTGTATAATGAATGAAGCTCAGACTGATATGAATACAAATTTATAATCGACCTTGATTGAGAGTGAAGGTCACAGGATATTCAATGACTTCTTGCAGCGACTTTTAAGGCCACCCTAGTAATGGCTGAGATAACCAATTTGGCTGCTGCATTTTATTAAATATTACTTTTTTAACTGGAATACCGAAACCTGATTAGTTATTACAGAAGTTGCTAGGGTGGCCTCACTGTCAATTATATGAATAGTTGTGCACACCGAGTTTTCAAATATTGTTTAATTATTATTATTATTGTCATTACATTTTTAAAAAAAACGATGAGTTAGGTTAAAAAATAACATAGTTGACAAGTCGAATGTACTATTAATGTACTGTTTTTCGAATAAGAACTAGATGGTACTGCAAATGATAAAGCTTGATTATATTAATTCTATTCACCTTGTCATCGATGTGTGTTTTTCTTTTCATGAAGGCACATTGTGTCCGTGGAGGTTGTCGTGAAGCTGATGGTTGGTGTCGTGTATTATGGGGTAAAACAGGAACACTTGGTGATAAATATTGTTTTTATAATAATGAAGTATGGGATAGAAAACCAACTGTGGATTCTGTAGCAAATTGTGGAATTTATCGACCACCTCCTAGGGATAGATGGGAAGATGTAAAAACATGGACAGGCAAAGCTTGTGAGACATGGTAAATAATTATTTGTATTTATTGTTGTTGTGAAATTGATTTTATCGATTTAGTAAGCTTACTACAATGCGGCTTCTTATAACCCTTAAACTATCGTGAACACAATTTCATCCGAATAAATTTATCGTTTTTGCCACATTTAAGGGTCATAATCACTCTAAGGTAGATTATGGTGAAAATTCACATCGTTGAGCAGCTATTTCGTGCTTATTATCGAGTCGCTGACTACCACTGATACAAATGTGCATAACTCCTTACGGCGAAATCGAAACTAGGCCTCGAAGTTAGCGCTAATATTAAACCTGTGGATTGAAACTACATACCTATTCCTACTGAACATGTCGAATGTGACTAAATACTCTGAGTTTTCGAGCTCAACTCCTGTTTGAGTAACATTAACACATTTGTCAGATGAATTTGTCTAGGATTCTTATGTAATAATTTAACATCATTTTGCTTGATGTTTAAAAGTTTGTATCTCCTGTCGTTCTAACTAATTACTTTCGTATTCCTTTGAAGAAGTCATTGGAAAATGATCTTTTTAAATAGAGCTGTTTGTCTAAAGTTCAGTCATGCACCTGATTGATTTCATGAAGGATGAAATTGACGAAAGTGTATCGTTGCTACATTTGAAGTTATGAATTTCAGGTCTTTGTTTGAAAAGACTTTTAGTAGATATTAAGTAGAGTATAGCTGTTGAAAAAAAGGAGTAAAATGCAGCCATAAGTTAGTTAACGACAGTGCTTCTTTTAAGCTTCAAATAAATTAATCGATAAGCAAAGATTTAGTCCGATTGTCTTTGAGAACGATAAGGTTTAAAGTTAGCCTCAGCATCAATAGTGATGATGTGCAGTCGGTAATCGTAAAAATGGAAGAAATGAGCAAGGCACCGGTACTAGATAACACTCGACAGTACATTAATTTCATTGTCATTCATCAAATCGAAACCTGATACAATCTTGATCTTGACCTTTAGAAAACTCTCCTACTAACGAGATTTGGAAGTATAAGGACCTATAGGACTTCGAAATCTGTAACACCACCTTGCTTTGATTATGGGTGATAAACTGTATCCGAAGCGTCCTCCACCAAACAAACGGACCAGTATGGAATAATAATTCATTATAATGTCAAGATTTTACTAGAATATTAATAAAACTGATCAGTTGAACGTGTTAGCATACTCAAGAGTGTTTTTCTTTTCGAAATGGGACTCGAAACTAGGTAGATGTTAACGCTAACCAGCAAGAAGCTAAGATTTTACATCAGTATAATATATGTTTCTTATATCTACATTTATTCGAAAAAACGAAAATAACGGGAAAGGGAGTTAGTGATAATGAAAGCAACCAGAGGAATGATTCACCACCATAAAATAATATACTTAACAGGTGTACACTATTTGTTCATAGTTTCTCTTCAAATTCTATGCATATTTATTTTGTTTTCCTCGTGTTACTTTTATAGGCATTAGCAACATATAAAAAAGCCTTAGTGATTACCAATCACAAGAAATTTAATTTGTACTAAGGATTTTCTGGTTAAAAGATTTCAGTCATTTTTCAACTCTGGTTTTTTGAGAAATCTAAGTGGTCATTGGCGACTCTCCTCGAAAGGTGATTCCGGAAGTTCTGATGAGAAGTTGTTACCGATGGAGGCAGCCAAATCGGATGTGAGGACAGATACACAACGACGCCGTTGATTGGAAGTTGTGCTATACTGTGAACTGACAGAAGTAGGAAATATGGACCATTAGGCTCTGGACCAGTGGCTCGGTGGTATTTTGCCAAGCACGGGACCCGAAGGTCCTGGGTTCCACCGCTAGCGGCGCAGGGTCATGTGTGCGCAGTGGTGAGGAGTCTCATACTACGATGAAACAGCTGCCCAATGCTCTCAGGTTACCAATGTTTTTCTAACTGATACCAGTTCATGACGAATACCAACCAGAAGTATAAGTATTTGTGATGCATTGTTGAAGATCCCGAGTAGTGAGTTATAACTTCCATGTTCACTCACAGTATTTACTAACCGAACACCTTCAAAAATACCTGAGTAACATATATGAAGTTTTACTGATTTTAATACAAATCAGAATTTCAACAAGTCATTCCCTAAATTACTTCTGGTATTTCTGAACAAGTTCAAATTTGGCAATTGACTATGCAAAAGTTTGCATGTGGTCAAAAGTTCCTATCACTATGATGATTTCGTTTCTAAGTTTAGTAAAGTTATTGGTTATGAATTCCATTTTGAATTTGTCTTCGAAAGATTGCTTATCAACCAAAATAGTGCTTGCTTATTCTTTTGTATCTAAGTTTCTGGGGAATTTGAACAGTGCTTCACTGCAAATAATCTCTAAGCATTTCTATGTACCTTATCAGGTAGGTGAGTATTTTGCATCACCAATGGACGATTAAAGTAGCAGTACACTTTTTAGTCTTCAGTCGATAATTTGAAGTGACCACTATATACTACTATTTTCTATTCAGTACGCGAAGATGCTTAGAGAAAGTTTCTGTTGCTATTTCTATACCTCAATGTTTTCCAATTATTTTCTTTCTCATAGGCATGATACATCCTGTGGACGCTTGTGGTGTCATCATCAAAATGAAAAAGCTATGCTTTTAGGTTGGGTTCAATCACAAACTCGTGTTATTCACTCAACAGGTCGATCCTGTTCAGCACTAGTTTATGATCCAGTTTGGCCTGCTTCGGATTCTGTTACACAGGATAAAAGTAAATTATTTCAAATTAATCCAAATGGTGCTGGATTCGGACTGTATGCAGGAAACACTCAAGATGCTGGTATGGTTCCCGATGGAACACCTTGTTCTCGTGGCGTAAGTTGACCGAATGATAACAACGTTTTTCTATGTTGTATGTAAAGTAGTCACGTTCACGATTTTCTTATTCACAGCTCATTCTACCTTTTTTGAGCTCAAACTGCTTACTTTTTCATGACATCACTGATTTTCGGATTTGAAACATCAAATAAACTAAGCCAGCTAATAAAAGAAAAATTCATGGATAAGTAAATGAAAAAAGTCTTGTAGATACGTCTTTATAACAATGCTACTCAAAAAATGTCCCGAAAACTATCCTTAGAAACGTATGAAGTAGTACACTAGACTACTTACTATCACGTGTAGCGTATGTAGCGTCCGTAAGGCTGGAACTGCCGAGAAGTTCCTTTATTCATATCTAAGTGTGTGATGAACTGCATCTTTACGTTGATTGGTGTCATGTGTATCTAATTCAGTCCTACAGGAGATCATTCGCGAGCCGAATACCTCAGTGATAACGCTTCTGACTATAACATTTGGTGACATGGGTTCGAATTTTAGACGGGACATCAGTTCCGTCGGGGTTGCAGATATACCTTGCTGATGAGTGCCAACAAGCTGATTGCCTCTGTCTGGCTAACAAACTGCATCTTTGCATCACAACACTGATCCACAGTTACTTTATAGGTTTTTAGTGTTATTAATGTGAAATTCACTTCAAAATACAACTAACTTCAAGTTACAAATACATTTCGTACATTAAAAATTGTGAATAAGACCGAAAAAAAGTGAGGATTCTTCGAAGAGTTTACTCCATGTTTCGTTAACTTATTTACTTACTGTCTATATATATAAAGGATTAGCTGGATGTATTCAATGTATTCGTAATGGTACACTACGCTGGTAAATACTGTTGTTATCAACAGTCTGTAAACGATGACTGTTTTGTTTTGCATTCGAATCATCAAAGGGACTGAATGTTGATTTTCTAATGATACTATACTACACTATACTATAATGCAAATAACGCTTTTGGTGTTATAGCACTTCCTCCCCCTTCCCATTTCTTTACAGTAAATATTGATGAAAACAGTATCCTATATACTGAAGAAATTTTTCATTCATTTTAAAGACCAGTTACTATTTCTTGCGTTTCCAATTGACTTGAGTGGCTTAATGTTGACTTTTGTGGATGTAGCGTCTCGTGGTGCGGATATAAATCTCATTCTCGTTGAAACTGCAGATGCACCCTTACTGATAGGTACTAACAAGGACGAAGTTCAGGTTAACTAGAGACTGTAATTCACTGTCTACAGTCACCTGACATCAAGCAAAGTGAAGAACAGCAGGTGGTCTTGTAGCTTGATGATCACATTACCAATATGACTGATGAAATGTCGTCAGCATTTAGGACTTTACAATAAAGCATGATTCATTATCCACTTAGTAAACAATGCAATCTCTCTTTATATTTTCAGCTTCTATCAATAAGTCTTTGACATTAATATAAGTGTAAAACTTGATCACTGTGGTAGAATTTAATTTCACATTAGGTTTGTTCATTTGATTCATAATACTGATACAGTACTACTTACTGGATGACGTTTCAAGCATAAATTAGTATGCACAATCATATAAATGTAACCACACTTCTTTCGATATCTGATTTTTCTAGTCCTGTCATCTCATATTCTTTGCTTCTATTGGTAGCGAAGTTTTCCATATCGCTGGCAAGTGTTGTTTTATTCCTATTGCATGTGTTGGTTGTTGATTCGATGAACAAAGCTTCAGACAGCAATCTCTCTCCACCTAATTACATTGGACTTAAGTACAGTGATTTTATCCCATTGTATTGTGTGGTTGTGTGCTAATGAATGCATTGCAACAGCGGAGTTTTTTTCCCTGGATTATTGATCTTATTGGGACCTGTCATTCTATACTTGAAAAAAGAACAAGTATTTCAGCGAATAGTTTCTTTTCGGCGATTTCATTTTCAAAGCTGGACGATCGCAAATTTATACATTCTTCAAGTGTAAGGATTTGATAGTTAAAAAAGGGTTTGTCAAGCATGGCAACACAGTGTCGATAAATGAGCTGTCATTAAAGTGAAAAGAACAACCAAAAACTGATGACTAGTGAATATTAATCGAAATAGGTTTGGACAAGAAGTTTCGTGAAATAACGACATGATTTGAAACTGAATTGTAATCAGAGAGAGAGCAACCAGAAAGAGTAGCAAATTACTTGGGAAGTGAATAGTGTCAACACAGAAAGATGAAAAGAAAGGGAGGGGGAGAGGAGATTCCAAAGACTGAAAACCAAGACCATGAAAGGAGAAGGGGTTGAACAGTCTTCTTTTGCATACACAGTTCAGGTTTCTCCATATGGATGGCAAGAGCTTCGGCGAAGCAGAGAATACGATGGTATACAGCTTTTGGAAGGTTTTTTTTTTACTTTATAGATGACTTTGAACGAGAAGGTTCTTTAGATAGGGTGAGTCATGTTCACTATATGTTCAGTTATAGCGCTCCTAATCGCTCCATTATCACTTCTTTGTAACCATATGGGATAGTGCTCTTGAACTCTTTTGGATGACAGTCTCATCGAACGACCTATATATATGGATCCACAGGATCAGGTGAACTGATATATGCACGTAGAAGTGGTCACATGCGAAAGTGTCTCCTATGAGTTGTTAGAGATCATTGGGTGTCATGAGAATAATACTCTCAGCTTCGATGTAAAGAATGTTCTCCTTGGAGTATTTGATATCCTCCTTTTTAGATTGTCAGCGGCAGAATCAGCTTTGAAGTTTAGATTCATACAGTGTCTTTTTTGACACAGTGGTAAGGTTATCTTTGCGAGGTTTATGTTTGATTTTTTTCTCTGTAAAGCGTGGTGGGAGATCGTTTTCAATTAGGCTTTTCTTTACAGCAGAAATCTCCCCTTCTAATGCATCAGGACTGCAGACTCGCCTTTAATGCAAGTGACAATTAGATAAGGTCGGGTTTTGCTTACGGCTCATAGGGACCCAGCTAAATTCCTATCTTCTGCTATTCTAGTTGACCTTGACCGGCTAGTTCGACCTATGTACTTGAACCCACAGTCACTACATCGAATTTGGTTTTTGCTCAGTTGGATCTGTCTGGTACTTAAGATGACAAAGGTTATCTCTGGGTGAGTTTGTAGGTTTAAATGCCACCCTAATTCCAGCCCTGTTGAGAATCCTACTTGATGTTGCTGATATTCCTTCCTTATGTGGTAACACAATGAGGGCTTTGTACTTATTTCTGCTCGTCTTGTCACCATTATTTGTATTCGTATTACTGTTATGATTTCATTTCTTATGTTTTCCTACGAATTTCCGTATAAACTGTGGAGGATAATTGTTAATTAATAACGCGTCTCTTATGGGTTTCAATTCCTTGTTTAAGTCCTTACAAAAAGTCAACTGAATTTTTTTATCTCTGTCACTTACATATTTGATTAAACCTGCCTCAACTGACGTTGGATGAGATGATTTGAAGTCTAGATACCTGTTAGAATGCGTCGGTTTTGTTTCGGAGTTATTTCGATGCGTAGAATCCGTACGATTAAGGAAAAGTCGGTCAGTGGTTTAGTCGCCAGCTTTTGAATTGCTGGATCATTCGTTCGAGGTCTTTGCACTTATTAACGTTAGGTTGACTGAGTATAATCCTTACCTTTCATCTATATAAATAAGCATGCAATAAGGGCTGTGTGGTGAGTGTAATTAATTCTACACTGCATTAGTTTATTTAGTATGACACACAGTGAAAAAGTATTATTCATGAGTAAATGAATACTGTATCACTGTGTACTATATCAGGTTAAATAATCTGATGTAGAATTATTTTCCCTTTGACAGACACTCAAAGTCCTAGGATGAACCGATGTGTATATTCACTGATTCGCATTTTGATGATTATCTCACCAAGATGCTGTTTTCACTAACCAACCTCATAATACAGCATCTTTATGCATGCTTGTCATCTGAAACTTTTATTTCCTGTATACCCCTCTTTATTTTTCAAGTATGAAAATCTTAATTTTTCTTCACATAGTTCTGTTACAATGGCTCTTGTAAGTCAGTGGATGAAATTCGATCTCCTCACTCATGTTACTGCAATGGCCGTGGAGTAAGTTGTCGAATATCATACTTTTGTTATTAAGTTAGTTAATGAGCTAGGAAACTTTTCGATTAAATTTGTATTTTTCCTCTAATCGGATACTTATCAGCTGCAATTTCGATGATGAAAATAATTCTTTGCAAATATTTTGGCTGGTAGAGGTTACATAGATGGCAATAATAATAATAATAATAATAATAATAATAATAATAATAATAATAATAATAATAATAATAATAATAATAGTGAAATTAAAAATTAAAATTAAAAAAACTGCCATCTATGGGAGTCACCACTCAAACCTGCGTAAGCCTATCGACAAGAACAAGAATAATTTGAAAGAACAATTGTTTTCAATAACTTCTTCAGGCTCTACAGTTATAAATCTCTGAGAATACGTGAAACACAATAACCAAAATAAGGTATGATGTAAAGTTATTTCAATATCGAAGCAGTCAGTGTTAAAGGTAGATGAAAATCAAATCTGTTGAACATAAATTCTCAGGTGGGTTAGTAATCACTAGAAAACAAATCAGCAATCACACTACACTTCATAAAAATACGCCATAAAATTGACTTTGGCTCTACAAAAGGGTTTCCAGTCATACCACGAATGATTGACAGCTGAAGTCCTACATATATGAGCAAATTGAGACAGTTAACAGACGAGATGGAGTACAGTTAGTTGTCTCTTAGGAATTACTAATTAGTAAGCAGAAGGAGTGACTGTAGCATTTACTTCCAACATCGGTTTAGACTTTATTATCTCTGCATCAGCAACAACACAATTTGGATTGATATAATTGTTTTTATATCATACGTCGTTGATTGGACCGAATTGATCGGTCTCTATTGGCATATGGGTTCCTGTGCGGATGCTTCGATATTGCCTGCGTTCTAATTATATTAATGATGGGTCGTAGCTAGCAGTGGAATCCAGGATACACATTTCGTCCTATTTAGAACTCGTCAGCTGGATGTGCCTGCTTCTCAGTGAGTGATGTTGTTCCCACCGGGATTCGGACTCAGAAGCGATCGCTTAAAACGCCAGGGTGTTATCCACTACACACCGAAGCAGGTATATCCAGCTGACGAGTCCTGAATGGGACGAAATGCGCGTCCTGGATTCCACTGCTATCCACGATCCATCAATAATATAATTAGAACGCGGGCAATATCGAGGCATCCACACAGGAACCCATATGCCAATAGAGACCGATCAATTCGGTCCAATCAACGACGGTATGATATGAAAACAATTATACTAAAACTATAACCGTCGCACAAAAAATGGCTATCGTGGCTCGGTGGTGTAATGGATAACACTCTGGCATTTGAAGCGATCGCTCCCGAGTCCCTGTGAGAACAACATCACTCACTGGGAAGCAGGTAGATCCAGTTGACGAGTCCCAAATAGGACGAAATGTGCATCCTGGATTCTCAATGTTAATGTAGGAGTAAAACCTGGTCCTTATGGTAGATCGTAATTCCATTTTTGTCTTTTCATTAGAAATGTTATACAGTGAAACAGTATTGTTTACTGGACAATGTTTCGAACATAATTTACTGTCTATATTCATATCATATAACTCCACAAATTTGAGACAGTTTATATAGTTGTGATTTTCTCTCCCTCTTTTTAACATGGGTAGTAGAACTTTCCATACTTATCTGCGACAGGCGTGGAACCATTTCTGTTACATATATTCAGTGTTGATTCACTAAACAAAGATTCAGTTATCGATCTCTCTGTTCACCTAAGTTAATTTTTATTATGAATATGGAAAATAAACCATTGAATTTGAGGGTTTGTAAGGATTTATTGATTTCAAGTTGGTATTCATCATGGACTGATATTAGTTGGAGGTGCATTAGAAACCCTTAAGCACTGAACGGCTCTCTCGTCCTAGTATGGGACTCTTCAGCAGTTCACACCCATGACCCCACCAGTGACCGAACACAGAATCTACAAATCCCGTGGCGAGCACGTTACCATTCGGCCACTTTGTCGGAATCAGATGGTTCGTATTTCCAACTCTAGTCAGTTCACAACATAGCGCGACCATCGCCCAATGATCTCGTTGAGTATTTGTCTTCATGACCACCAGGTTTGCCCCACTGGTCACGACTTCTCATTAGAACTTTGGGAATCACCTCTCTAAGTTAGTCACCAATGAGCACTAAGTCAATTGAGTTTGGGGGTTTGTGGGGATTCAAAGATTTTTCAAGCTGGTATTCATCATGGACTGAAATCAGTTGGAGGAACATTGGAAACTTGGGGGCACTAGACAGCTGTTTCGTCCTAGTATGTCCTAAACGTTATCCAGTAAGTGATACTGTTTTACTGTGTGACATTTTTAATAAACGGACAAAAATGACATCAAATATCAACCTTTTACTCAGCACCCAATATCTGCGTTGCTATTTGGTCAAATCTTGATAATGGGTAATAGGATTAAACTGGTGACAATGATTCATTCATATACATTTATCTACGTGTGTGTGTTTGTTTACTAAGGGTTAGGCTATCAGAAGATGCCTATCCCGTGCGTCATCAACTGCAAAGTCGTCGACAAAAATCAATAAACGCCTCATCCTACCAAACATAACGAATATATCAGAAATCGCGACAAGAATACTGAGACCACTTGTAATTGGTGTGGCCATTCATCAACCAACAAATTCCCTCCAAACACTATTATGCAGACCAGAGGATGCAATAACCAAAGCAAACAAACTGAATATCATTTACAAAATCAACTACAATAACTGTAGTCAACACTACATTGGACATAGTGGCCGCCATCTTCGCCTTCGTCTACATGAGCACCAGTTGGCTACTAAACGCCATGACGTTTCGTTACTCAATTCAATGCACGTGGACATGATTTCAATTTCGACAATGTAGAAATTTTGGGAAGAGAAAACACGAAGAATATCAGAGAATTCCTAGAAGCTTGGCATTCAGGTCAGTCGTCAATCAGTGTAGACATAGACCCGATCTATCAACCAATAAGAAAAATGATAAACGGCAGAAAGGTCAGAAGTGAAGCAGAGGAACAGCCAACAGCAAAGTCTATAGAGTCAATGACAACAATCGAAGGAAACAACCAATCACAGACCACATCGTCAGAGCAAGCCACTAAGTTACTCACGGAGAGATATTGACAGGTCACTTCATACTGAAGTTAGTGCTGATGATGTCATCTAGAAAGACGATGAAAGCTTCATGATTAAACAACCCAGCTCAGAGAACACAATACAACCAAGACCATCCACCTGAGCTACAAATATTCTCCATCATTTCAAAATCATTATACAGCGACGAATTATATTCAAGTAGAATGAAAATCTTGTGAATACTATAGCGAAATAAAGAATAACAAATGTAAAGTGTTACGTCACGACTGAAAATGACTACCAGTAGTGGTATAAATAAAGAGCACAAAACTAATAACATAATAAAATGAATATTTATCAATGTTAATGACGATTGAGAAGAAAGAGGTAGGAGGTTGAGTGGGAAATTTGTTGTAGGAAAGTTCATATTGTGGGCCAAATTAGACAAAATGAATGTACATATTTCTTTAGAACATATCGATCAGGTTTTCTGATGTTCATACCTATGGCTTCGAATATGGATAGGATGCATAGTCGTGCACCTTTGGGGAGATTGTAAGACAAGATATATCATAGAAAAGGCGTAATCTACCTTGATTTGATATCCGGTATCTACTAGACCAAGACTCAATTTAGAGTGACAATGAAACCTGTGAATATGATTAAAAACAAGTTTTGTGGACTGAAAAGTTGTACTGACCCAATTAGACAAAATAATGCTGTCTGCTGATCCCGCATGCAATTATTTTGAAGTCGATTACATAATTCGAAGTCGTCAATCAGGTCCACTCAAGCTGAACGAACATAGAACCTACTATCAGTATAAGCTAAAAAAGAATATGTCATTTTTTTGCATCTCAAATCCATAATTATTTGTATATATATGATTGAGTGGAGTAACTTGGCAGTAATTAGATACATTTACCTTGTCTAACTTTTTTTCTCACTTTTATAATACAGATTTGTAATAATTTAGGACATTGTCATTGTACACCTGGCTATAAACCACCGTATTGTGAAGAAGGTGGAAATGGCGGCAGTATAGACAGTGGACCACCTCCAGTAACAAGTGAGTTAATAAAATTGGAAAAAAATCCATTTGGATTCTACATATTGCATGCAAATTAGTACCTATCGTTTTAAAAATAACTTAATTCCTCTAACTGATGTCAGTTTACGATGAATAACAACTTGAAAGTCAATCCTTATTTAGTTGTTGGTGACTGTCCTTTCATTTCATTTGTATCTCATCCTCTGAGTGCATCTGACTCTTAGTGAGTAATGGTGTTCCATTTTAGACTGTGATCCAGAACTCATCTGTTCGACAGATAGAATATCATTTACTAGGCTATTTCGTCACAAGATCCATCTATTATGTGATATATAAGTTGTTATACAGATTTATTCATTTTCACTTTATTTGATATACTAGATCATCCTGGTTTTCACTAATAACCACCGTTGAATAAATGAAATAAAAACAAAAATGATATTAGCAACTAGGCCAGCGTAAGAGTTTGCCCGTGCAGCTAGCTAGTATTAGAGTCGATCAGACTTGGAAAACCTGAAGGTTAAGAAGCAATCGCACTACAACCCATAGAAGCATGCCACAAAATTGACTTTAATGGAATCAAGGCTCTACAAAAAGGTTTTGGGTTATACCAAGAAAGATTGACAGCTGAAGTCCTACATATATGAGCAAATTGAGACAGTTAACAGACGAGATGGAGTACAGTTAGTTGTCTCTTAGGAATTACTAATTAGTAAGCAGAAGGAGTAACTGTAGCATTTACTTCCAACATCGGTTTAGACTTTATTATCTCTGCATCAGCAATAACACAATCTGGATTGTTTTGATTCATCGTTATTATTATCGTCACTTCCATAATTACTAACATTCATGTCCACTCTATTCCTACGAACCTTATGTCTATACTAAACAAGCGGAATATCTCGTCAGAAAATATCTCGAAGTCGATATATTTTTGTTGACTTAATCGTTCTTCAAGTTAGTTTAGTGGTTGACGTTTGACTTCCAACAAATAAATTAACTTCAGTACAAGCTGCACAAAAAATTGGAGTTGTCGAATTCCTCTTTAGGTAGTTTCTGAACTTTATTTCTTAACTTCCTTGAAAATGATTATTTTCATCACTTGGTTAGTGAATGAGTTATTATCAGTATTACTTGGCTGGAGGTGTAATATCATCATCCAACTGATAACCTCTTGTTGGTGACCTATATTTATAATCGATGAGTACACTAGTTTTTTTATGGTAAAGCATCATGTAATCTCGTTTTGGGTTGGATGATATGCTTTAACAAATTTCCAGACAAATTTGTATTCCCGCCTGCTTGATATTCTTCATGTCAAACACCTCATGAATACCTATTATTTGCATTGATGTACTTGATAATGCTTTACGACGTTATATTACTAAACAGCTTTCGTACGAGCATTTTGAAAGAAAATGACGAGTTTGTCTAATGCAATGGTTTTCACGGTTCATGCAATTTTAACCCATCTGTCGATTTAAAGGTGGGACGGTTAGTCGAAGTTGGTCTTCTTTAGAAATGTACTTTCGAATTATGCTGTTTTTAGAGTAGAATTATGAGTTAATTATTTTCACTTGTAATTGTAATTGTAAGACTTGTAGTTCAGAATGATATACAGAGGAAGAATATGAGAATCTTTACTGCATCAAGCATATTCCAAACAGTGTTATGATAGCAGTCCCACCGAGCAGTTCATTCAAGCCTAACTACACAATAGTAAATACCTATATTTACGGTAAAATGCTCACAACAGCATTGACTCAAACAATATTTAAAAGACAAGCGATAGGATTGCTCATATTAGTTGTAATAGCATAGGAAAAGCGCCTTTTATGACCTAACGAGACATCACACATCGATCCATGTATAGATCTGCGTGAACGATCACAAATCATCACAGAATAGTATCTCATTGTATTTCTTAATCTATTCTAAGTTTGACATGATGAGAATATGCAGTGATAAACTTTACGAAAGATAATACGACCGACTTTTTAAAAAATGTCTGAATCCACTGCATATTTTGATAAAGGGAAAAGGAAATTAGGAATGTGACCTGAAGAAGTTTTGAAACCAGGGAACCCTTACTACTACTCTGTGTTTTTCTTTTGAGGCTACATTGAATCTAATTCAAAAAAGTTGACAGTTTAGTCGTGCAACTGCAGTTACATACCATCCTTAAAGAAATCAGCCGGACACTAAAGGCTAGTTTTAATAAGTCGTAGAACCACTGACAAACTGAGAACATGAGACAGCCATTTTATCTCCGTTTTCGATGTCATGCCTCCATGGTCTCATTAGCAGTCGAACCCACAATTGTCATGTCTTACAGTGGGCGCGTTACCATTCAGCCACTGGGTTGGGATCTACATGAACTATGAATAACAGCACCAATAATAAAAAACAGAATTAACTTGTAAGCACAGTATATAGTTTAGTGCGAACACTATACTGATGAGTGTCAACAAGCACGAAATCTAGATACAGGCTTTTTTGCAGTTTGCATCTTAAGATCGAACACTGAACTGCAGTATTATGCAGTAGTGTCACTTCAGTTAGCTAATTGACAATGCTGTAAACCTCATGGATGGGCTTTGGCCAATATTTAGAAGTTGATGCCTATACTGGTTATCATCAGGTGAACAACTCGAACAACAAGTGAATATTTTATGCTGCGGAGTTTACAATGTTTTAATCCTACCTCTGTTTTTCTGTTAGTCTACGTGTCCTTCCTCTTTCTTCCTCCTCCTTCTAGTTTCTATTACCTCTGATACTGCGTCTCTTTTTAAGCCTACAACAACACCGACAACAAAACAAAAAGATTTTAATCAACAAAATGCTTTTCATGGTGATACGTCTTTTTTAACTAATTCCTGGAGTTGGTCATCCCATCATTTATCACAGACCAGGAAGCATCGATTGCATAGTAGACCGTCTTTACCATCATATCTGAAACCATATTACACACCTATACCTAGATCTAATTTTACAACTGCAACTGATATGATTAGACGCCGTATATTATTAAATCAATCAAAATCGCATATAACATTGGCAGCTTCAACAACTTTACAAGCTGTATTATCTAGAACAACGCATTACGTCACCACTTCAACACTGCCACCAGAGACAAATGATCAAGTACCATACCATCGGATAATTGGTCAGTTATGATGACTGTGTGTTATTTTGGATACTTACACACATTACATATATATGATGCTTACTCAACACATTACTTAATGCACATTGTTTCAATATAAACAAATGCTTCATGCACACATAGCACTATTTATTGCTTTGTTTCGACATGTGTGTGTGTGTGCCTTCTCCCTCTTTTTTGCTATGCAAATAGTTTGTCAGTCAATATCAACATAGGATCTTGATATTTTACGTCATGGTCGGAGTTGCCACACTTGATGTCAGCACATCAAGATAGAAGGCAACAAGACGCATGATAAAGAAGACTTCATCGATTAGTGCCACATTTTAGTTTGAGCATGCCTAACTTTTTCCAGTCTAACTGTAATTCAACTAGCATACCGCGCTTGGGTGTATGGTAACTAGGTAGGTATTTGTAAAGCATATCCTAAACGACCTCATCAACTGACCTACTGTACATCCAGTCGCTGCATTACCTCGGTGGCATTTCCTTAACATTGGGGGCGGTTCTATGGTCGTACATCTGCAACTTTCTCATGTTCTCCACCTTTAGTGGAAAGGTTCTGAAACCATACTAATGTACACTACACTAGACCCTCTGCAGGTAATAGAATATCTTGCACCATGGGTTGCTGAAGGTAGCAAATGACAACCAAACCTTTTTTATCCTTCTTCAGAATTCATTGGCTATCGTTACACCAAATTCTTAGGTCTATCTTGTCGCCTTTCGTCGCATCGGATGACTCGCTATTTAGCTGTTTTCGGACCAATTTTCCAATTGTAGTTATTTCGTTTAAAAAGGGGTTTTAGGAGATCGAAGATACTGTTTCATGAAATCAAATCGTTATCACTAGTCTCAGGAGTGGAAGAAGTTAAAGATGACATAGAATTATGAACGGAGAAATGTGAAGAAACGAAGTTTCATGCCAATTATAAGGGTTCTGAGTGCTAACACAGATATGATGGCAGTCGGCACTTTCTGACTACCCACACTTGAAAAATTATTTCTTTTTAAGGTACCTGAAAATGAGTGGCCTTTATTGAACTACGTGCACGACAACAAAACCCGATAAATGTCTACTTGAAGCGAGTTACATACGTCTTTCATGAAGGTTTCTGATTGAGTTGAGTTACGTTAGTAGTTAGAGACAGACCCCGACAGCTGGCACCGGAAGTCTGAGGGCCAAGAAGGAATGTGCCATTTTCAAGTTGAATTTTTCTAAAGCCTCCTGCTAAGGGAAGGTAGCACTAATTTGGAATGCTTGTAATTCATAGTGAACGCCTTACTACCTTTGTACTCCATTCAGCTAGAAATTGGCTTCACTGTCTGACACCTGCCATATCAAACAAACATTATTCATACTATAACAGTAACTGCTTTTAGTTTTAGCAGCTATTGGTCGGGTCATATATATACAGTTAATGTTATACGTGTATATGTATGACTTCTACACTTTATTTCTTCAACTTATATTCTGCTTATTTTGGTGACCTTTTAAAATCCTTGATTTCATTTTGCAAATCTTAAAACTTAATTACTGAACAATATGGCATTTATTTATTTTGGTTTCAGTCATAATTTATTTAATTTTTGTTTCAAATCTGTTTTTATGTCAACTTCAGCAGATGGGATTTTGTTTATGTAAGAAAGTGGTAAACGATAAGGTGTTATGTATAAAGCTGCTCAGATTTGTAGCAGCTTTTCAACTGATATCAGTTTGGTATTGAAAACTTGTCTGCATCAAATCGATTAGGTGCTTCACACAAACTTGCCCTACTTGATCATTCTTATCAGCACTAAGAAACATATTTTCAAAAGTCTTCAACTCTTTATTCTTAAACCTACCAAAGACTCCAACAAGGCAGACACACGGTCAAGATCAACAAGGAGACTTCATAGATTGATACCGTGTATTGTCATGACCACTCGTAACTTCCTTGCAACTTAATCTTACTGTAACTAAGATTGTATATGTCAGTAAATGATGACTGGGTAGACACAAGATATCTTACACCTGGGGGTCATCTGATTGACTTGGAGTATGCAGACAGCATTGTCCTGCCAATTGAAGAGGCTGACAAAATAGAGGCTCTTAAAATGCGCTAAGCAGAAATCTGAGTATGTTGGGGGATAGGTTTCGCACCTGTCAAATGGAAGATGATGCTCCAGAAACGACTACTCCCACTTTAATGATAGGGAGTGAAGTGTTGGAATACGTTAACTGCTTCACTTACTTCGGGTAGTTGCATCACCCTGAACAAGCTGGTTGCTGTCGAAATCTCAGCTCCGATACAGAAACCCCATTTGGTATTTGCCAACTTGTATCATATAAGACGCCAGTGAGATATCCGATTATCAAAAGACAAGTGTACTGCACTTTAATCGATTCTGTTCCGTTGTACGATTGAGACATGGTCCTTAAAAGTAAAAGAAATGAAACGATCTCGTAGCACTGCTCGCATTTGGTGGCATCACTGTGTGAGCGATGTTGAGGTCAGTCGTAGAGTACTAAACAAGGTAAGCACACCGGTTGATGAGCCTTTATCAACTGAGGCGGCTTGGACATACATCGCATATGTTGAACCACCACCTACCTCAACGTGTCTGTCATATCAAGGGAAGTTGGATTAGGTTGGAAGAGGGTTCAGGGTTGCCAGGCCAACACGTGGTACCAGTTGATGAAGTCCCACACTTTTATCCTGAGCCGTGTGTGAAGATGTAGACTACGTGGATGGGGTCCTCGAGACGATAGAGATGAGTGGTTGGGAACTCTTATTAGTGAAATGGCTGAAAACACTTCACAATGACGTAAATGTATTCACTCTTTGACATCTCCCGAAGCTTCAATAGTCACACAAACCTATCTTCAAATTTTTTATTGCTTCACACAACGTTTTCTACTTTGATATCACTCTTATTCTATCTACGTGTTCATAGTGTACTACTGTGAAATGTGGCAACTTGAACCGATGTACTTATGTGCGAGGTTCTACGCTGATTTCGCCAGCCAATCAGTTAGCCAATGAATGTTTACAAAACAGTACCAAGTATTTGGTGTTTGTTTGTCCATTTATACACTCGTAAACTGCATGACTTGTATTCACCTGTAATATACCTATGTGCACATTGAAGCCTTTTTTCTCAAGAAAATATATTTTTTCGTGAACCATACGTTTTCGGTAAATATCACAATTTCGTTTCATCGTTCACAGCGTGTGATAGCATCATCATATTTATCTGTCGTTCGAAAAGGCTTATCACTGACAATTAGTTTGTATTTGACACAGGCACTGGCACATGTAAAACTCAGTGTTCACAAATTTCTGTCTAGAGTCAGTTGTACAACGACGTCCAGGCAACTATTAACGATCTATTTTTAAAAAATAGTTTTTATCCCATTATGTTCTCTGCTGTAATTATTTAAACAAAAAAATTTAAAATAAATCTGAGTAGTTATTGTTCTACCAGATCTTACATTTGTATTGTTGTTATCAGTTTTGTTGGTGAACACCTTCCTTCATTTTCTTTGATGATTATTTTTGGTTACACTCTTGTGAGATCTTTGTAACACGAATAGTTATTGATTAGAGACCCTCAGGAATTGTTGGTAAAAACCAGTCAACCCTTAGCATCTCGGATACATTGAATCTTTGAATAAATGCATCTTTGAATTACTATTAATCGCCTGTCTCTTTCATATTATATTTTGAACTATTCTCCTTGATTTTTAGAATCTAGTTGGTGATTTCCTACTATTATGATGCTAAGCCATTAAATAGTTTATCAGCTGGAATTGATCCAGTATACTGTTGTATTCATTCATTTGTGTATATGCTGTCATTTTCAGGTCAATCGATTCATTTCTACTTAAAAACCATTACTTGGATGGTTACATGAAGAATAGTGAACACTCTTCTGAATTTATAAATTGACGTTTACTACTCAATAGATTGATTGCTTCATCCTAAACAAGATTGTACTAATCGCTTAATCCATATAATCATCAAAATAGTTGTTATACATTCACTTATTCTTTATCTTTCCTCAAAACGCGCAGTTGTTCTAATGGTTTAGCGATTGAAGAGAACTGAACACCTGATTAACAGTTGAATCAGTAGACCACTGAACCGGTTACTCCAAAGCTATTCAATCAAATCTTATCACGGTTTAAGTTTTCTTTCAGTTTTAATCATCAAGTGCATATATAATCCAGTTTGGGTTTTTTTTGTTCAGTACATTTTTCTGAACCAATATTTATTTTACATACATATATGGATTAGTCAAACGTGTGGTCATATCTGCTAACATTGAGTATATAGAGTATACATCTTATAATACCCTGCATTTTTAACGTTACATTTTTTGATTTCAGAAGAGTAATTGTCTGAATTCTCTATTTGCTGCATATTAACTCATTACATGTCTTCCTGTTACATAATTTTTAAATTCAAGGTATCAAAGACAATACACTACTTGTTGTGATATGTCTACTCTTCTTTGTCATCCTACCACTGGTTGGATTTGCAGTCTACTTTTTATTTATACGTTCCGGTAAATGCATATTAAGCACATCAAAAGAATTCATTCATACAAGCAGTGGATTACGTAACCCATGCGATAGAAGTTGTACAGAATGCATTTGTCATTTATGCAGGTGAGTATGAACGACTTAATTGTTTCTCCGTTGTTCTTATAATTTATCGACATATGCATATCTTGTTTTATCAATCTAATTTCAGGGTTAAAAGATTTAAATCTCGTAGTTAAACTGTGACTATCTTCGAGGGTTTTGGGTAAACTTTGTATTACACACAAGCATGTGATAACATTGATATGACTATAAGGAATAAATTGTACTCAAAACGTCATCCAGTAAATAATACTGTATATAGTATTGTATATAATCCCGATTTGTTAGTTGAGTACTAGAAATTAAGCAAGTGATATGTAAATGAAATAGTGAAGAGATGATGAGTGGTATGATATCATGCCGTAAGTACTCGTCAAATGGTGTTAAGGTAACTACTAAACTAATCAACCCAGTACTGTAATACAAATAGTTAAGTGCTTGAAGTTAACTGACAGAATACCTTGTTGGCTTAAGTCGTTCAACTAAACTTTAGTGACGGGAAATCATGTAGAGAACCAATCAGGTTGGCGATGATTTATTCAAGCTGCTCGTTACGTCCATTTACCGTATTGTTGACTCCGCATAAACCTTTGATGAGTTATGATCAAGAGTACGTAGTAGGTTGCATGTGGAATTTGTTGGATAGAGTAATGTGGTTGTAATAGATGGATATCTTATTCTGAAACTTGAATAAATTCTAGGAAGATGACTTACCCACATAGATATGTTTCGGAGAACCACATATTCTTGGTATATACGGTCGAAATGCGAAGAAGGGACATTTTAAGTAAATCAAGAATAGATCAGAAAAAGCTACCCTAGCAGTTTGGCGAAATCAAATGGCATTTGGCAACACAACATATAGAGACTCTTGGAAGTTATATATGCCTTTGAGATGATAGAGATTATTTGTAGCTCAGGAGGATAAATTTGATAATGTTGTCTTACCTGAGCTAGATGGTTTAATCTTGAAGCTTTTATTGTCATTCCAGACAGCATCATCAACTGATGATGAAGATCCTTAGAAGGTTCTTAAGACCTTTAACGGGATCACGATGCAAAATTTCCCAAATATCATTTAGATGATATTGTCTCATGTGGATTGGCAGCAGTATAAACAATGGTATGGTTTCGAAGATGATAAACCCATTTAAAGTTTGCATATCTTTATTTCTCATGTAAAACAGATTAATAAATTGTAAATAAGGTATCGTTTCCATTGATAACTACTTTGTCCTTCGTATTCTTGATTCGGATTGGTCAGTGTATACTTCAACGTGATTCGCCATTACTAAAGTTTAGTTGAACCGTCTAAGCTTTGAGAACTTCGCACACTACAGTAAGGGATCTAAGACAGAATGTGACATATTACTATTTTAATTAAACACATGTGAATTGATATTAGTATGTGTGATCGCTAGAATTCGATCAGCACTTAAGACTAAAAAAACATGAACTTGGCTACTCTCTCGCAGCCTCCGTAGCCTAGTAGTAACGTCCTTGGCTGCAGCACACGGTGACACAGGTTCAAGTCTCAGATTGGACATTAGTTAAGTTGGTGTTGCAGCTACATCCGCTTCCATCCAACTATTACATACATATTGATGTTTTACATCTTCCGATAATTATAGAAGAAAACCTTTTAATCCTTTAGTACATTATATCAATTTAGATTTATACACTTGATTAAGCTCACTGTGTTCAACCCAATCTTTGTTTGTATTTTCGAATACAATAACTGCTGACAGTAGTTAAACACATTATACCATATTGTCATGTCCTGTAGATTATCTGTCATACTATATACACTCGTTTGATAGACCGATAACCAGGTTGGAATTCGTCATGGACTGACATCAGTTGAAGGAACATTGGAAACCTGGGAGCACTGAACAACTGTTTCGTCCTTGTGTAAGACTCCTCAGCAGTGCGCGCCCATAACCCTGCCAGGGATCGAGTCCAGGGTCTTCAGGTTCCCTGGCCAGCATGTTACCGTTGGGCCACTGGGGACAGTTACTCAACGACGACATTGGATATAGGTCATGCTACATCGTGAACTGACAGAAATAGGAAATGTGGACCATTGGTTCAATGGTAAAGTCGCTGGCTACAGAAACTGAAGCTTCTGGGTTTAATACCTGATGGGGTCATGGGTGCGCACTGCTGAGGAGTCCCATACTAGGACAGAACAGCTGTTCAGTCCTCCCAAGTTTCGAATGTTCCTCATTATTCATCATCATTCCATGATAAATTCTAACCTAAAATCAATTAATAAACCTGCACAAACCTCCAGATAGACCGATGAACACTTTAGACTCGAAAGTTCCACCGGTTAAGATTTAGTAACCAGTTTGTGTAAGTATTTACGTAATCTACTTCTATATGAAGCGAGTTATGGTGTGATCAGTTTGATACTGAAGTCTCTGACATAATTACCGGGTGATTTATGTTCTAATTTCCGAATGATCATAGTTGCGGATATGCCTCGCTAATATGTGTTAACAAACGCTAAGCTTAGATCGAAAGCTTCTCGTTAATATGCTCTAAACGCTGAATACAAACAGTATGTGTGTGTAGTATTTAAGTCAGACAGTACGTGAAGGCTTTATGTGCCTTTGTATTATTATTATTAGTAGTAGTACTATATCTATGCGTATATTGATAATAGCTTTTTCTCCACACTAATAAATATTTACAATTTACTTTGGCCCAACTAGAAATATCTTACTATCACTTGTTAATTAAGCTTTTTCTCCTATTCATTTTATATACATCAAAATATCATTTTAGTTTCCTAGCATCGTTTACAGAATTACTTTCAAAGTCTAGTCGAACAGTGACCAGCATAAACACGACGTCACCAATAATAGCCAGAAGTAATGATATGCATACTATATGCTAGTTAGCTGATCTTTTGTTTTACCAATAATAAATTCTGCATTTTAGTTCATTATAGATTCGATTAAATAAATAAATGAATGATTTATTGAATACACTTGAAAATATTTATCGAATCAAGATGATTAATGTGTATAAACTGAATTATTAAAACGTAACCGAAATTTTTCTTTCATTTGATTTGCATGTCTTCATCACTTAATTGTTTCCTTTTCATATAAAAATAATGGACAATGAAATGATATTAAATGTTTGTGAATTTTTGGTTTGTTAAGAACTCTCTCTTTTGCTATCCATATCATTTAAGAGATTTGCACTTCGAGCAGAGTATGCGTGTGTGTATGTGGAAAGCTGTTTGTTCCGCTTGTCATGCATCTTTTTATCAACTGAGAATTTTTTTTATTTGGGCAACAAATGTTGTATATAGCCATCAGATGAAATACTCCAATTCCCTGGCTAAAGTTTATTTTTGCTACGCTTTACAACCGGTTGGTATCATAAACTATTTCTGTTAGTTAGTGAAAAAAGTGTAAGTAAAACAGTCAGCGGAGTAGTTGTGAATAAATTTTCGACTCCCTAACTGTCTACATGAAACTTGTTGAAGAATATCGAATATAAAGATTGAAGGCGGTTGGAATCATCATGGGTTGATTGTAGATGTCGAAAATGTTTAGGAGAATAAAATGGAGGGAAAAAGCCGTAGATGGCCCTTTTAAAAAGAACGTTGATAAACACTACACTTACTGACTATAAATATTTTCATTTGTGGCTTTAAGACAGATAGATAGATAGACAGAATCGTCATAGAACCTCACACACAAGTGCATCGGTTCAAGTTGCCACATTTCACAGTAGTACACTATGAACACGTAGATAGAATAAGAGTGATATCAAAGTAGAAAACGTTGTGTGAAGCAATAAAAAATTTGAAGATAGGTTTGTGTGACTATTGAAGCTTCGGGAGATGTCAAAGAGTGAATACATTTACGTCATTGTGAAGTGTTTTCAGCCATTTCACTAATAAGAGTTCCCAACCACTCATCTCTATCGTCTCGAGGACCCCATCCACGTAGTCTACATCTCCACACACGGCTCAGGATAAGAATGTGGGACTTCATCAACTGGTACCACGTGTTGGTCTGGCAACCCTGAACCCTCTTCCAACCTAATCCAACTTCCCTTGGTATGACAGACACGTTGAGGTAGGTGGTGGTTCAACATATGTGATGTATGTCCAAGCTGCCTCAGTTGATAAAGGTTCACAACCTCATCCGCCAAACGTGAGAAATTTACGCTTTAAGACATTTATATATTGAACTATTCCAAATATCATACATCGATGAAATCATTGAGAATGTTACTTATTTATAACCCTGATAATTAATGATCACATCATTTTCCTATTAGTTACAATATTTTCCACAGTGATTCTTTTCGTCACTGCAAATATCTTTATGAATATGAACTTGATTTTAAGCAGTACAGGTGGTTAGTAACCTTTTTATCAATTATTTTGAGTTTGAGTTGCATGAAGTTTTATTGAATTAATTGAGACTTTGTAAATGTTATCCGTAGTGATGTATGACTTATTGTCGCTTATTATATATGTTTCTACTTGAAATCCTCCTTTCTAGACGTCGTAATAAATCCAAGCAAACCAGTAGATTCAAGAATCCCTACCCCTTACTCGCATACACAACGGATGTACAAGACACATCGGATGGAGACATCATCAAAGGTCAAGTCAATGGCTGTCACAACTATAAATCCAACGGTAAATTATCCAACGGTATTCAATCAAAATCCGTCAGCTTTGAAACATCAACAACAGACAAAATATCATCCAATTTTGTCACAGCCAAAACAGGTTCACATAAACTTGGGATACCAAACAACACCATTTTCACTGGTTCAGAAACAGCAAGAACAGCAAAGACAACACCAAAGAAGTGTCACTATGGAGAACTACAAACAACGATCTCAACCGTAATCTCTAAATCTAGTATGTACATTACATATAATCAACAGTATTATTTTGTTTGAAGATACTGTACACCTTGGAATAGTTTTGTTTACTTCAAGGTGATATCGTTTCGTCATTTACTGTCCCTCATTAGTTTACGTACTTTACCTCAGTCTAGATCCAATTGATGTAGAGATTAAAAGGCCGAACGTCTATCTTTTAAGCGTTAGTTTGCAATCAGAAATGTCAAGCAATACGACTAATCAACTAACTATCAATCCACTAAACTCACAGTAATACAAAGGGAGATATAGAATATTCACTTAGTTGTTTGATTTTCACTCAACTGTCATCGATAAATTGAAGCAGCTGTTTCGTATTCAGTTGCTATAGCATCGAGTGTGTATGAATCAGATTACTGTATTGTCTAGATATAATGGATGCTTGTAATTTGCAATAATGGTAGATTTTACTTAGCAATATAGTTTACTGTAACCACTAAGTAATAGCTGAATGTTTTAAACAAAGTCTTATATTGCATATTTCAAGACTGAAGAGTCACAAAACCTTCGAGTTTGTTCTCGCCAAGGAATTTGTTACATAAATCCAAATATAACATGTTCTAGGTGAATATCTTAACAACATTGAAAATTATGTAAATTTGAAAACATCAAACAGCCCTTCTGTATCCACGATGAGACTTCTTCAGCAACCAACCCATTCAAGCTGATGTAATTTCTCAAGTAAATGAAAGAATTAACACATTCCATATTCTTGAACTAGGAGTAGCTGCAGACGGATCCTGAGACACTATTTGATTAGTGCAAAGTCCGTGCTAAAATGTACTTATATTTCTACTCAAAGTGGTGAGAACACTGTGCATTTTGCCAGCATTCTTGTCTGACAAAACTTTGTCGTTTGCGTACTACAAACCAGCAAGGTTCCGTCGTGATAGTAAGCTAATTTATAAGTTGAAGGTACCTAAAGCTATATCCATTGCCACGTCTATAACAAAGTAAAATAGGAATGGCGATAGTAAATATCTTCTGCAAACTCCGCTGGTGTTTGTTACTTCATACAGAAACTATCAATAAGACCTAGCAAGTCTGCGTTATTCTGAGGTAGGCTATCTTGATCAGAATAACATACTTTCTTGGGTAAAGATCATCATATTAGAGCCAAAGAAATTTCCAGTGTTTCGTAGTTTGTTAGGGGTTCTCCAACAAGTGTACATTGCTCATGAGAACCAATTTGCTATGAGTATGCAAATAACAGATGTGTACACTAGTTAAACTAGTGTAACAACAGACAGAATGTTATTGTTGATGTAATTATCCAGATATTGTACTTACTTTTGCATGTATCAATGATATAAACTTTTGTCTAAAATCGATGAACGGTTCTCACTTTGAAAAAGTGTTTGCAGAACTGAAATCGAATTTAAAAAGGATGATAAGAGAAACTTGCAGAAAGTAGAGATTGTGGCAGAATCGAAAGCGAAATTTTTCAAAAGATTAGTCTACTGATCTACTAAGTGACCAACCTTTTGTCTAGGCCTCAAATCCATTATAATTACTGAGAATTTCAGTTATTTTTCACGCAAATGAGTCGATCCCAATTTTTTTCATTACCGCAATAGTTTCTGTAATGAAATTAGTTTGTCTTCACTTTTTGATCTTCATGATTTTTTTTACAGATTAACAATCATATTATTAACTGTAATCGATGATCATTGTTGTGAATGGCCAAGAGAATTGTTAATTTTGTAAAATGTGTATTATTATGATGTAGCAGTATCGGCTGTACAGAATTTTGAAATACAATAAATGGTTTATTCACAATATAGCGCGACTATCATCAAAGGTCTTCAGTTGGCATCCGCTTCACTTCCAACTGGTTGACCCCACAAGTCACGGCTACATGATATCCATCTGGAAGCATGTCACTAATGAGCAAGCACTATACAGTAATGTATTTTTGAGCTGAATGGAGATTTTTAATTTAGAGGTAGCATTCATCACGGACTGACATCAATTGGGGGACCATTGAAAATCTGAGAGTACTGGACAGCTGTTTCGTCCTAGTATGGGATTCCTCGACAGTACGCACCCAGATTTTAAATGATTCCCCAACTGATGTCAGTCCTTGATGAATACTACCTCTAAATTAAAAATCGCCATTCATCTCAAAAATGACTTGTTTATTGATCACTAGAGAACAACCAATTTCCTGTTGTTTAATCCTAAGGGCTGACTGACTTCTCTCGATCATTTTTCAATGTGACTACCAAGCTAAGAAGCTCACCATTGTGGTTCGCTTTGATGGATGTTAGCTGATTGTAGGTGAAATAACGATTTTACTACAATTCAGTGTAATTTTGACAAATATCAAAATCTAGAAATAGATTGGACAGCTGTTTGTGTGTTTGGCGCACACCTATAATCGACTTCAAGATTGAACCAATAGCTCAAGAAATGAGGGCTTGTTGAAGTAACCGAGTTTACTGAAATGGTATTACATCAAATATACTCAGGAACATGCTACGCTATGACGGGACAAGTATTCTCCATTTCTTTGTACTTTTTCCGCACTGATTTAGGATTAATCCCATCGTCATAGTGACTGTCTCGTACGTGAAAATGCTGCAAAAAAACTCATTAATGATATATAATGGGTTTACCGCAAGTGAGCAAAGTTACGAAAAGAGTAGTGAACAAAAAGAATGAAGCGCTGAACGACTCCTAAATGTGAACCAATCAAATCCAATAAATTTAAAATAAAAATTGCTCACTGTAACGTTATGCAACCAGATATGTTTCACCATGTTTCTAAGAGTGAAGCAAACTTAACAAATCACCCACCGGCGTTTGTTTGATATTAAGGGTTACGTATAATTTAAAATATAAAAAGATATAAATAATTAAAAAGAGAACTTTATCGATTAGGAAATATTTCTTACAAATTGAAAAGTGGCCTAGATCAAAATATAAAAGTTTTTGCGTATTGTGGTATATACAGCTGAAAATATTTAGAAAGAAAGTTGAGTGGTACACAGGAGGATGGAAGTTTGTCCATTTTTCATACAAAAAAGTGATTTTTGCCATAATATAAAATAGTGTTCTCTCGATTAATCACCCTTAACAATTTTAATCATATTTGCTATGAAACGTTATATATATATATATATATATATATATATATATATATATATATATATATATATGGAGAGAGAGACGGATAGATCTCTGTGCTCAGGTACTACGTCGATTTATCTACCTTATTCGTTGTCATTATATGAATTTATCTTCAGCATCCAATAAGAAAAGTGATGACAGTAATACTTTGCATTGAAGAAAATTTGTTTATTAATTACCTACCGCTTTTTCACAGTGATTTTTTCCAACGTTTTGTTCTTTTATTTTGAAGCAGATCAGAACGAAGTCAACGTGCAAGATAAAAGAGCTACTCAGATGACTTATCCAAAATATGTTGGTCAAACTGTACATAAAACCATTGAATCACAACACAGTCAACCGAATGGAGCAACAGTAAAACCGAGTACATTCATTTCGGAACCACGTCTTGAAACAATGACTTATGATGGACCAATGTGTTCTTTAAATGATCCAGTTGTTATCGATACAATTAAACGTAAATCAAAAGATAGACTGGTTACAAAATCAAAGTGTACAAGCTTAACAAATGATTCACAACCAGAAATTACCATTAAACAAAAACCTCAACAAAAATTACTTAATAATCCTGTGTATGCATTGCAAACAACTACAACACTACCTGTACGCCCACCACTTTCATCTAAGGATATTTCTGAACCTCTATTACAAACAACTACATATAATGAAACACTTTCAGATCTGCAAACAGCCAGATTAAAACTGTCAAAAAAAAGTATTTGAACTCTGATGTGTTTATGATTGTTTTTTTCCCTTTCAGTATTTCCAAAAGCTGCTTTTACATTCGTTTGTTGCTCCACTTCATTCCATAGAAAAGTACCATTATGTTAAAATATGCTTAATTATTACAGTTTAATTGTGAATACTGTTCAATTCAAAACAATTATTCCCTTCCTTCTGTTATGCATTATGTATGATTAACAGTGTGCATGTGTTTTGTTGATGTGATATTCTAGTCATATTTTACTATTTTAAGTTGTTTTTTTTTCTATCGGCTATATTCTTTTGTATAAATGTTATACTTTACAAAGTCAATCAAATAATCAATTAGATAATTATAAATTGAATTCCTAATCTCAACGAATTTCATCTTATTCCCTTTTCGGGTTATTTTATACGCTCAGGATGTGATAATGACAAAAGTGAATGCATCTTATTAAAAATTGCTTTGCTTTTTTTTCTTCTCTCGAAATAATTCTGTATCTTCTCGAAGGAATCTTTCGTATATTGTGAATAATGAATATTCCATTGTCCATTTATTCTTTCTCCTTTTTTCTTATGTATAATTCTTGTTTTGTTCTGGATAAATATTAATTGTTATCTTTATCCTAGCGATTTCCATATATCTTAATACAATACAATTTGCTATTTTATTATAATTGCCCTCCATAAAAAATCTTTAAAATAACCATATTTTCTTCATACTGCTTCTGATTTCTTTCTTTAAAAAAACGTTATGATGATGAGGAGGAAAAAAAAACGTTGCTGATCACATTATTTGTTAGTTCATCCCTAATATTGCAAGCGCTCGCTTATCTTGTACTTATCCACTTCTTACTTTGTTATACTTTACGAATTGCCTTTAAGATAATAAAGGTGTTAGTTAACTAAAACAAAAATGTAAAATCTCTTTGCTTTCCGACTCTGTTTGCTACTGAACAATGTTTATTGATGGTATATCGTATTTGATAGAAATATTTACAACGAAATCACTAGTTGGACAATGAGATTGGTAGGTAATTCAAATTGAGAAAGTACTATTGATAATTCCACTGAGATTTTTGTCGAATTTTTCTCTGCATATTTCCTCTTCCATTTTTTTCCACCTGTGTTACTGCTCAGGTTTACTGTCTCATCTTGCTTACCCTTTATTTATTTGTTCACCTTACCAACAACCAATAAGCTGACTGAAATCAAAAATAAAGTTGTTTATCTTAAAACTGTTTTTGTTTTCCAAGTCGTGTGTACATAGTAAAAGTTAAGGAAAAAAATTGTTTTAAGAAGATGGTCTCTAACATTATCAACACTTCATTTTGACCAAAGTTCTTTGGAAGTGTTTCCCAGTTTGGTTTTTCGTTAACCATCACTTCGTTGTTAAGTTGTTTGTTTGATGTCTTGCACAAGATCACGAATACCACCAGTCTGAAAATAAATTTAAATTTTTATTCTGAGGATATTAAGAAATGATTGGTCTAGTATTGTCATTTTTCGTTCCATTAGTCGCGTTTATGTATAATGTTTCTTCTTGATAATACCATATATGACAGAAAGAAGGGTAACACTTAATTTATGGTATAACTTTGTTCACCATCTATCAACTAGTCTGTAAAGTTGATTCCATAAAAAGTTTTGCAAAGATCTAACCTATACGACATGTAGTCATACTTATATTCCTTACTCACATTGATGTAAGGAAAGTGGAACCTTTTTTTGTAGAGTCATTAAATCCATAAGAATAAAACAACACCTTTTCATATTAAGGTGAGTGGTCAAGAATAATGAAATGCGCATAGAGTGAATTCTTTCATTTTTAATTAAGGGTCCATGGATCAGCATAAAACTGACGATAATTCGACTAAACTATTACATACATGACTACTTTGATGAATAAACACCACTTACATGAAATATTAGATCAGAAACTGGAGATCACATGGCTATTCGCCTTTTATACTATTGATCGATACACATGATAGCCATGGTTGTTTTATGCATCTAGTATAAATGTTCAAATGAAGCTTTGACTTAGACCTCTCTTAAAATAGGCCATTGAACACGACTTTGGGTGTTACTAGAGAACTCAGTAGGAAGTATAGTTGTTGTATGCCATCTTTCCATTCTTTGATGATTTTGTTTCCAATTTTGTGTTCATACAGATAGAATAATATCAACAGATCTATAGAGAGTGGAGCTGGATGGATAGTTAAAATGATGCACTTCTGCTTATTTTAATAAACACACTAAATGATCAAGAAGTATGCTGTATCCTCCAGTTGTTTTCAGTTGTTACATCACCTTGATTACCAACTCTACATCTTATCACTTTATGATTAAATATTAGTCATTATTGAGGGTTACAACAGGATGATATCGGTTACCATGGAGTAACTGATAAGTTCGCATAATCTCAAAGGGTTAAGTGAGCTATTTAAGTATTCCTGTTAAACCTTTCCAATGACAACTAAAAACATAAGATTTGTGTCAACTGCCTCCAAATATTTGCTTTCAAATTCTCTATTCAACAACCATGTAATATAGGTGGTTGTAAAAAGAGTAAAAATTGCTAGTAAAATTTAAACTAATCAACAGTTTTGTTATTAACTATCAGCAACCTATATCTTAAAGATTCTTAAGTGTTCAACTTCGAAATTCATAATAACCATGTCAGAGAAAAATTGAAAATTTGATATCCTCGAATTAAATGGAGTCCAGGCTTAGCTGTAGTCAATAAACAGATAACTTTCGTGTTAGGTTTTGGGGGTTAGAAAGCCTTGGATTTGGGTTTCGTACCTGTTGGCGCACACCAGCACAGCTTATCTGCAACCATGAGGAAAATTGTCTTTCCTTAGTGATTTGAATCTGCATCACTGTGCTGAAGTCATAGAATTAACGACTAAGCTATCCACACTACCTAGTGGATAAAGCTTTGGAGTCTGAAGTGATGGGCACCGCGTTCAAGTCCCAATGGGGCGCAGGTACATCCGGGTGACGAGTCCCAGATAAGATGAAACACACATCCTGGATATCAGTCCTAGTCAACAACATAAATATAAGAATTACCTGTTGTAAGAATGGATTACCTACAGATTAATCACCAGTGGGTCAGCTGATGTACCTTAATGCTTGGCGATGATCGAAATAAAATTCTACAATATCGTCAAAAAATGACTTAGGCTGTTTAAGTAAGTACAACACGTAGAATAGTCCACAGTCTTAGGATTGATGGATACTGTTACTAGACACGGACATGTATACTATTTTAAAAAATTAGATTGAAGATCTGCCGTACAGAAAAATGAGTTTAGCAGGAAGTATTGTTGCATCGTTTCATGTGGTGAGTAAAATGGCCCATAACAACTAATAACGCATTTTTATTTATTTTCGCGTCCTACATTATAATACCCATTGATTGGTCACAGGAGAGCAACCAATTTCATGTTTTCTTGTCCTGAGCTCACACCGAATCTTATCGATCATATTTGAAATGTGGCCACCAAGCTATGAGGCTCAGCATCATGGTAGTGCATCGTGGTGCACATTAGTAGATTTCAGTTAGCTGGAGGCACTCGGCGGGAAGCTCTGGACCTAGGTCTCGTGCTTGTTGGCACTCGTCAGCAAGGTGTATCTGCAACGTCGACGGGACTGATATCACGCCTGAGATTTGAACCCGCGTCACCCAGAGTTGTAGTCAACGGCATTAACAGTGAGTTATTCGGGTCATGACTGACCTTCTGTAGGACTCGGTTAAATGGATTGATTGGTCACCGACATCTACTAATGTGCACCGTGATGCTGAGCCGCCTAGCTTGGTGGCCACATTGCAAATATGACCAATAGGATTCGATTTGTACTCAGGACTAGATAACATGAAATTGATTGCACTCCCATTACCAATCAGTACATGTAACCCAGTCCTACATGAGGTCAATTGCAACCTGAATAGGTCAGTGACAAAGTCGCTGACTACAACACTGGGTGATGAGGGTTCGAACCTCTGGAGGGACACCAGTTCTGTCGAGGTTGCGGATATCCCTTGCTGACGAGTGCTAACAAGCACAAAGCTGACATCTAAGTTGTAATGTTTATTTGAAGTTTTGTAAAGTTAATGGCATACAGGTTTGACTAAAAATAGGAAGAAACCAATCTAAACAATGAGACTAAGTTGACATACTGTTATCTGATAATATCCCACACCACATGGCCTTCCAGGATGCTTAATCAGTCGAACTTGCCGACAGCCCGCGGATAAGCGTGTTAAAAAAATACGAACGGAACAGATATGTCCCCAGCTATCACCAAGTGCAGGAACTAAGCATGAATTTTGATCATATTTTATTTGTTCATGACCAGGAACACAATCAGGCTGTGCTGAATTCATATATCTTGCATCGAATCTAGTTGTTATCTGATTTGTTAGAATAACCTGCAAAATGAATGTTTGTTAAAAATATAGAGAGTAAGTTTGTATAAACACAAAGGTATTGCTATTTTAGTAAACGATGTTGGTTTGTTGGGTGGAGCTTGGTCATGAAACAAATGCACTGGTGACCCTTTAGATTCTATGAGCCAATACGTAGGAAGCACTGCTATCTGGCACAGCCTATTGTAGTATCGTACCAATCTATAATTTAGTGACCACACCGAGAACCCAACTGGTACATTTTAATCGGCTTTTATGAACTGACGGCCATATTTATTACTTTCAGTTGGCGGATTCATGTACAGTAGTGAACAAAATCTTCTGAGTCTCATATAAACTGACATTGAAGGTGGGATAAGAAGTCTAACTAAGAACTACCCACATAGCGTAGATGAGCCAACGACTACATCTAGTGAAATGGAACCGGAAATCACTTGAGATGAAACGATTTGTTGTCTTTTGCTCCATCAAAGTAATTTTAAATGTCAGTCAGTGGTGTTTCTAGTTCAGTTAGTTGACGCTATTTTGACTGCATCCCAGAGATTTGAGGATGGAGATCGAGTCGTGGCATATGGTAGGGAATCCACAATGTTTTTGTCCACCATCTCAGTGTCACCTAAATACACATTCTGAAACCGAAGTTAGATGAATGAGATGGTAGCTCAACTAACAAGACACCAGCCATGCAACGTAACACAGAACAAAATTTCTGTTCGAAGAGATTATCCATACTATTGGTATTTTTGATCTTGTGTTCCCAAGAGCCGAAACACTCAAGGTGAGCACATGTGTAATATGTTCACAGTTACCAATTACTTTATGTGGCACAACAGAATTTCCACGTGGACACCATCAACTGATTCAACTCCATTTCTCTGATGCGTTAGAACAAAATTTACTCCCCTGAAATAATACAGTCTAGTGAATGCCTATGGCTTCCTGTTTTGATAAAAAAAGGCGATGTAGAATGGCATATTAGTAGTTGAACTTGATCATTCCTACCACAAACATCCTTTTATATTATATAATCTAGTGACGGCATTTTTCATATTGGGCGTTGACTTCCTATTGGTGCAGAACGTTATCGATTATTTGAAATCATGTCATAATCGGTTCATATGAGAACCCTGTTTTTTCTTCTTTGAGATACAGAAAGAACTCGGTAAGTGTTATTCTGTTGTTCATAATTTAATCAATTAGATATGCCAAATCAACGTTGTGTTATTAATTTACGCCATATACTTAGTGAGGTTTATGATGACAAAGGGACACTAGGATGCATTAAGACTGATCAACTTGGAACTGACACTAGTGACAGTACTCTCGTTAACCACTTCAACTACGTTCATGAGCCACCCTAATAGCCTTAGTTAGAACGGTAGAATATAAACATCTTAGATCCATAAATCAAAGCAACTCTTTTGCCCTGTTACAAAACTATGCTGAGTTGAACACATATAGTAGGGTTCAGCGGTTTTTAGCCCTTAGTGTCTAAACATCATCAGGTAGAGATACGGCGTAAAAAAAGACTATTCATCTTACTCCCTGGTTTATGTAATTTTTACATTATTCCACTACTCAATATCTCATACAGAAGACCTTGATGTTTTATTCCTAGGCAATTCTCAGTCTACTTGATTGACTTATTTGCATTTTGAATGAGGCAAAATGATGACAACTTGCAGGCTATTCTACAATGAACACAAAGAAATAACCTTTAAATCCAATTCCACTACGTTCCACTTGTTGCGAAAGTTAGTAAAACTTCAATCGACCTTTTTGAAGCTAATACAACTCAGCCAATGAAGTTAACTTGATCTTTATTCAAAAAGAAAGCGAGGTGTTAAAAGCACAAAAAATCCTAATCGACCAACTGCGTTTTAACGTTGATAGAAAATCATTTAATGATAACATATGATCAAAAACTGTTATTTATTGGTAAATGTAGGAAATTAAGTCTTTTGACATGGAAAGTGTTCACCTGTAAAATGGAAGTTCATCGAAGACATCAATAAGAAACAAATCGTTGTGTCAATCACCTTATTACTTACACTTAAATTCATTGCCATCATATATATATATATATATATATATATATATATATATATATGCTAGTTAGCTAACTTACCGTAGCTTGCTGACGTCCAGCAATACCGAGAAGAATTTGTGCGACACTTGCCAACAAACGATTACGTTGAGGAATGTCATCGAAGTCATAACGAAATGGGAGGGCAATACTGTCAACTACAATTAGTCGTATCTAAATTAAATTTTTAAAAAAGATTCTTGGCATATTTTTACATATCGTTATTTAGGATATGGATATATATACATGTAAAGCCATATTAATGAGTAGAAGAAGATACATTTCGAGTTTAGATTGAAAAGTTCAGATCAATGAGTTGAATCTGTTTAGGCATATATATATATATATATATATATATGGGGTGGGGTGGGAGCGGGATCAAATAGATAGATCAGACCAGTCAGTCGTGGTCAGTAAGGTTACAACAGAATAGGGAACTAGCCAAACATAAAATGATAGGCCCCGCTAAGATCAACTAACTGAAAAAAACTCAGCAATTACAGCGCATGCACTATCACAATAATACAACAGGGTTCAATAAGGTGACTGTGCTGATGGTCAATATATTTACGTGGAAAGAATCTTTATTCAACGAATCAACACTCAAAATATGTAATAGGCATGATGCAACATTTATTCCAGAAATATGTAAGACATAGGAGAACTAGATGATATGATAATGAGAAATAACGTGTGCTCGAAACTTCATCTAAGTAATTAATCCCATATAAGCTATTTGAAATTAAACAAATCAAACTTAATAAACCAGTGTGGAGATCCACCGCACCGCACTCAGCATAAACAACAAGATCCGGATTTTCAACACCAACGTCGGCCAACTCAGTGCTTTTATATGGTTGAGAGACTTGGCGTGTTACGAAAGGCATTTCCAACAAACTACAGACATTCATCAGCAACTGCCGCCCACGCTGGCTCGTTACTGAAGATCAGATGGATTGCCAGAAAGAATAAGCAACAAGGAGCTCTGGGAACGAAGCAACCAAGAAGCTATCGCTCAACAAATATACAGTTGAAGGAAGTGGAGATGGATTGGATTGGGGATACACTGAGAAGGCCGACTGGGGACATCACGCGTCAGGTCAGTCCCTCGAGTGGAACCCAGATGGGAAGCGACGAGTTGGGTTTGTGAGGTGAGGGTGACATGGAGGAGATGGTGCGAGAAGGAAATGAGAGGTTGTGGGCTGTCGTGGAGCCAGGTTCTAAAGATATCAGAGAACAGAGTGGAATGGAGACGTGCTACTGAAGTCCTATGTTCCATTAGGAACCCAAGGGACAAATAATAATAATATATTATAAAATTAAATTCTGCTACTATGGCGAGATCTTATACTTGTATTAACCATTACCACAATTTTCAATACTAGGAATTTTCATTTGCTGACTACGAAAAGAAGAAGACAAGGGTAGCATGACTGTTTAGTCGCTACTGTAATGTAGATGTTTTCATGATTACTAATAGCTGGTGGAAATGAGCACAGAAAGCAGGCGAAAATGCAGTTTTAAAAAAAAGTATATCTAGTTTAGTTGACCTTGGTGGCTAGCAGAGGATAACGCTCTGGTGCTTGGAGCGATGAGTGCTGCGTTTGAGCCTCAGTGAGAACAACATCACTCACTGGGGTGCAGGTACATCCAGCTGACGAGTTCCGAATAAGACGAAATGCACGTCCTGAATTCCTTTGATAGCCACCAATATCAATATACCATCATCAGCATTCGACAGTATCGAGGCATCTGCATACGAACTCATCTGCCAACAGAGGTCGAGTAATTCGGCCCTGTATAGCAACAGAGAATTACAAGTATCATAACAACAATATACTTAGTCTAAGTGATTCAATGGGGAAGAACAAAATCAATACAACTGGATTATAGAAAATTTACCAATGGATGTTGATCACAAAACTGTTCAAGATGTTGACAGACTGCTAGTAACTTCAAGTGATCAGTGATTCGTATATAGTGAATCCCAGACATTATACTTTCAACGCTTGGGCAATGCTGTCGGATAGAAAGTTCATCAGATTTCTCTGGATCTTTAGAGAAACAAGAGATTATACGCAATATGTTACAGAGGGATAACTTTGATAGCATAAGGTAGTCAGCGAGAAACGAGATAAAAATAATAAAATACAGGTGGATCATACTAAAACATATTTTGTACTTTCTATTGGTAGCCATAATCTATGCACGAAATGTAATAACAAGTCTTGGGAATCGTTCAAAACTATCTACATGAATGGAAAACTTGACCTTATATGAATGGTAGCTCTCAAAATAAAGCCTGAATATGATAAATGTGTAGGTCCCTTTTTACGTGTACATGGAAGTCTCATTGAAGTTATGTGCTTTTGAATTATTCGTAATGTGATATTACTCAGCCGACTGACAATATGTAACCTCCGAGAAAAATCCTTCTGGATACACTTATTTCAGTATCATGCACTACAACGAAAAGCTAACCCCTAATTTATTTATCCGATACTCAACTAAAACCCATTACGTTCCTTTCAAACAGTCCTATAAACTTAAAACTGTTTGGTGAAAGAAAAGTTTTATTTGGCTTTAAATTTCTTTCCAACCATGCGCTCATCTATATCCTGACACGGAAAATCTAGTTTCAAACCACTTGGTTACTTATGAAGATTTGAGTAGAAATCCTACTAAGAAAGCTCTACCAGTTTCACCAGTAAACGAATACAATGAAGTCAAAAATTCTTATTGGCCATATAAAGCAAACCTTAAAGAGAGCAACTTAAAACTTATCGCCAACAACGTTTGAGGCGGAAGCTTGATCTTTTTCTTTACAAATAATAGTTTGGTCACCTTGCACCACTAACATATAATGGTAACTATTTTGTGCACTGTAATCTGCCTGGTGGCTGGCAGTGTAACTCAGGAGGCATGTTTCGCCCTATATGAGGCTCGTCAGCCGGTGTGCCTGCACCCTAGCGAGCGATGTTGTTCCCACTGAGACTTGAACTCAACACACATGGCCTCAAACGCCAAAGCGGCTTCCACATTAATCGCTGTTCGCTTGCCTTTGGACTGGTTGGAATAAGTGGAGATGTGGACAGTGTAAGATCTGGCGCTATGGAATGAACGACATTTGTGGAAGGTTAGAATCTGTAGGCGCTTCACGACTCCCTGGAAGAGGTTCCAAGTGATCCTTTAACTTAATAGCCTGAGAGGATAGAAGACATGGTTGAGAATTAAAATCAATGGAGATCATGCTGTAGTTTTCTTGTTTCCTATATTACCGAGAAATGAAACGAAAGAAGTGAGTGCTTCCTTGAATATATGATTAAAACTGATTATCTTACTGTCCATTTCCATTGCTCTATCTTTCTATGTCTTTTGTTTATCTTTTTGGTGTTGCTTTATTATTATAGGTGGTCTCTTCGCGACTATGTTGTACCGGGTTTCTGTTTTAATTGATAGATGAAACTGAAGTCTAGCTTCCTTAGATGATTTAAAAGGATTTCGTTATGACGAGAATAATTTCATAAGGTAAGAATAACGAACTGTGCAATTAAAATATCATTAACTCAAGTATACATACAGAAAATGAAATAAAGAAACAGGAAAATATTTAACGAAAACTTAATTGAATTCAAGGGTTCTTCACCACAAACCAGCTTCAACCAAAGAAATACTTGAGATCCGAGATCACTCGATAACTGTTTCGTTTCAGTTTGGATCTCCTCAGTAGTGCCCACACATGACCCGTTACCGATACCACTGCATGATGCTTATGCTATATCATGAATTGACAGGATTCAGGAAGCATAGACCATTGAATGCCCACCTGGAGGTGTAACAGTAACTTGATGGTCCTGGGTTTCTACTCCTCAAGAGGTCATCGGTGGGAACTGCCGAGGAGACCTAGACTAGGACGAAACATGTGTCCAGTAACCTCGGGTTCTAAGTAATCCTCAGGGTGGAGTCGGTCAGTGATGAAAACTTCTTGAAGTCGGTTGAGTTTTCGCTGAATGTTTTTCTGGTTCGTTACTTCATTTTCCGTCTATATACTTGAGTTAGTCACCAATAACATTTTAATTGCTTGGTTCACCATTCTTACTACAATTACTCTGCATTTTAGTTTCATTTGGTTTCATATCTACTGTATAACTACATATTCACGTGTCGATCAATTTTTGTTTTGTTTTGTCACTCTTAAGTATCCGATTGAGTAAAATCACCCCACCCCCGGTTTACCACTTGTACATTTAATAATCATCTAATACATCCCAAGTTTATGCTACTATTGTATCAAAACTACCTTCCACATGGCCAAGCCTGAGACTTCAGTGAAAATAAATATTCACCTGAATCAAACGTTTTCTCAGTATTATCTACTATGGGGATCTTTCGTGAGCAACAATATCAAATTTAACCACAGACATAAGCGATGATAATCCATACCTAAAGAATTTCTTTAAATATAAGCATAACCTCACTTGCTGCAATATAATGACGTCTACAGTGATTGGTTAGGGCGGTAGCCATTTGTCGAACACGTTCAGGGATGAAATTTCCTTCAGTATCTAAAAATAAAGCCTGTCCATCAAGTCCACCAAACCACTTAGGTATTTGTACATTTACACACGCCTGGAAACTGTAGAAGACAACAAAGCAAAAAAGAGATTCAACATAAGTAAGAGTTTTTCCAGTTAGTATTCCAATAACATTAGCCGGTGAATTCTAATCAACTAAACAAATGTAGAACCTGACGTTATGACAAGCTTCTATTCCTTTTTACAGAATAAGGAGATTTCAGTATGGAATGTAAAGATACTTTTTCAGAGTGCGGAGAAAGCACAGGACAAAAATTAAGAATTAAAACGGAATATTAAACAATCAAATATCTGCTGTCATACAAGAAACAAGCCAATTTTTCAAGGTTCTATGTGCAGTAACTACTTAACAGAATTTGAATCCCTTCGGTCGAAGCTGTTCGAGTGTTGAAAAGCTTAGAAAAGGGTTCGTATCATGTAATACGGTATATAAACATAGTTATATTTTACTGTTTTGAAGGGTTTTTCAGGTTAGGTTGTTTTCATCTGAAGGAAAATGAAAATTCTATTTTAAGGGTCATAAGGAGTAATCGCTCTCAAATATGTGCCGAATTAGGTTAACGATACTCAGGTCTTATGATGAATACTTTGTCATTGGTTTTATAGGTCGCCGAACAATGGTTGGCCTTTTCGAATTTTCGCTGATTCAAGATACTTAGAAAACAATCCAGGCGGTAAACTTCTCTTCAATTATCTCATTACCGACGGCTCTACTACATGGAGTTTTAAAACAATACAGCATAAAATATCGATTTAGCGAAGAGGAATTAGTTAATAAATAATTGTCAGTTTCAATTTATTAGTCAGAGATTGGCATCATTGAGAAAATAAAGACAGCAATTACGGAAAAGAATGACAATAAAATAATGTGTAATTCTCGTTCTACTGAAACCCAAGATATAGTGAAATCATCACTATACTTCGGTAAACAGAACAAATTACATCCATCTCAATATTCGTGTACAACTAACTATCTTCAAATTAATTTCGCCCCAACAAGCCACCCAGTTAAACACTATATACTGTTTAAAAGACAACAACCTGATCAAATGTAGGCGTCCGGTAGCGTTGCAAATACAAGTAAAACGTAATACATAAAATATAAGGAAGTCCTAATTTCAAGAAACACAATCACAATGAACAAAAAAATTTTTTTTTCGATAACCGCATCAGGTTCCATGGCTATACGTACATCATAGTGAATAACACTGCGTCAGCAAGACTTGTTTGAATTGACTTCCTCAACACAAAATTACTTAATATGTATATTTAGCTGCAGGAACTGAAGGAGAAGTAATGGAAAAGAATATTCTTTATTCATTCGAATGGGTTGTAAAATTATAATGATAATGTTTAAAGAAACTGAAACACGACTATTGTTTGATTGAAGTTTATATAATAGTTTCAAGGCATTAAGTTAAAGATGAAAGAATGTTGAGCACATAAAAATCTTGCATGAAACTCAAATTCCTCTTCAGTAGGTGTATCGTATTTGTTTTTTAAACTGTGCAGTGGGAAACTCCATAGAAAACTGATCAGTAAATGAACACTTCACTCTTTTTCATGTATGCAACAGACCTGATGTAAGTTTATATAAAAGGTTTCATAGTAAACTGCTTATTAAAATAGCTTACTTGCATTATTAGAATTATCATTACCTAACCAATAGAGAAGTGATAAATGCCCAGCTTAAATACACCTCCAAATGAGTTGTTCAACAGAGCCTCAAAGTCTTCAGTCTAGGACATAGCGTCAAGTTGTGAACAACTTAGGTATTTCAAACTTCCTGATTATATAGTTAACTTATTTTGATCAAATGGCATGGTACAGGTTAAAAATATAGTAAATTGAAGAGATCCATACTAACATGTTAGATTTCAGATTTATACAATATGTTAGTCATATTACTTGGTCAGAAATTCATTATCTTGTAATAACATCCATCAATAACCTTTAATCAAGGCCTTAATCTAGGCTGATTGTAGTCCTGTCTAGCAATGTGGTCAGATGCATACATCCATACAAATGAATATACTCAATTATTTATTTGTTTATTTCGAATATGAATATTTTTCTAAATAACTACTTTAATTCTGAATAATAACCTTAATAATGATGACACTAATAACTGTTAAATTCTATTTTTATACTAGGTGATGAATAAAGGTGGCTGTAGCAGAGCTCGAACCAGCGATCACCAGGTTTCCGACCCGGTACCCTACCAACTCAGCTACAAAACCCGACTGTTAAGAAAAATTTAAATTTGACTTCAACCACCAATGCTATTTTCCAAAGGCAACTGTTTTTAATATTGGTAGAAATTATGATGATGATAATAATAATAGAAGTCAGATTATTGTTTTTCATGTCTTTCTTTTAATGCTAAAAATGAGGAAAACAAAACAGAATTCGAAAAATCAGACAAAATAACAGGTGACGATTAAACCCCATGAGAAAAAAATAACAAGAGGGATTGATATACTGAATATTTATTTTATGTATATGGTACAAATTAGACAAAAAAAATGAAGAGAAGAAACGTACGGCCATTGTACCGCAACCGACGAAATAAAAAAAACACTACTAGATAAGCTTAGAAAACTTATTTTCACTTTTGGGACACCTAGATTACTTGATTCACTCTAAGATCAACTTACCAGAGTTGATTCTTGTACAAATGATATTTCAGACTCAAGTTACGCTGAAATATTTTTTTACAGTAGGAACACAATGTTCCAAAACCAATAAATCAAATCACAATCAATCTTTTCTACTTCAAGTTATGATAGCAATACACTACAGAAATTAACAGAAAACCTGTGGATGAATTATCTATCAAGCTTAGCTGCCTTTTTCCTGACCACAAAAACGAATTAGATCAGAGATGAATGAACACCAAGAGAGTTTATTAATTATCATTTGACTATCTGATATAGCCGTAGTCTGGCAGACTAGTATTTATACTGGGTGATGACTGAAGGTGAAACAAAAATTTGAACCACAGCCGGATTCGAACCGACGACCACCTTGGTGATTGAAGTGAAATAAAATCTGATCAGTAATCGGACTCCGTAGCTCAGATGGTAGAGCATCGGGCTGAAAACCCGGTGGTCGCTGGTTGGAAATCAGCCCCAGTTCAAATTTCAATTCCACCTTCAATCATCGCCCAGTATAAAAGAGTTTATTAACTTGTGATCTAATATTGACCGAATTCAACGATGCGTGGGTAGTCATGTTTTATATCTTTATTCAACGTTTGTATTTCTCAAGAAGACGGTTCCAAACGTTTGGGAGAAAAAGCAATTTTCGCAAGCTCAAGTGCAATGTCAAGATTTACGCGACTTGGGTGTTTGTTTTTCCATGACTACTTGACCCGTAAGTGATTTTATTCTGAAATGATTTAGAATCACTTTTAGCAGCAGTTCTAATAAGTTTCGGACGCTTTTCTGGCCTTTCAGATGGTCTATGCGCCTTCTTTATTCTATTCTTACCATCTGTTACGTCAGCGAAAAACGGTTACTGGTGTCTAATAACTAGTCTCAGTGATCACATGGGCTGTTACTATCTGTAGTTGAATGCAACTGACCACTTAGTAGAGGTAAACATGTATTCATGAAACATGGGAAAGTGAAATTCTTCTGTAACTGATGAAACCCTTACACATTTTCAAAATAAGGTTAATTTCAAACAAATATTAAATAATGAGTAATGGCCAAAAGTGAAAATCTGGGTCGTGAAGAGATTCGTATCACCAACCTTCAGCTTACCGGGCTGGTGCTCTACCAACAGAGCAACGAGATCCTGATGCTGACCACAACTTAGTCTCACTTCAATCACAAAAGGTTTTACCCAACTAACATGTAAATTCATAATCCGTAACTGTTCGTTCGTCTTATTCACACTGGCTGCCTAGCCAGGTTTTATCATTTCAAACCAAATCGAACTGAATTATAGAGGTGGAGTATCATATTGATTCCCAGTTTGACAATCTGGTTTCAATGTGATGAAATTACTCGGAAGTTGTAAGTCGTTTAGTGATACTATCTGGAATATTCGCCTTAATATAAATAATCAATGTGTTGCACACCATAGCTCAGTGACGAAAAAGTTAATCTCCATGTTACTATAAGGCACGGCAATAAAGGGAAAGTGTCATGCTTGCTCCGAATCAATCAGCATCCCAAAAATATAAGTTCTATATGCATTTAAAATGTGACAGTTAAATATTTCTCCATAAATTGAGTTGCATAAATATCCTAAGAATTTCCCCACCTTTCTGTAACTTAAAAAATTGATTAGTCGCTCACCTTCTAAAACTATCACTTCTAACGATTGGGATCACTGCCACAGCTATTTACTATCATCATTGATTTATTATACGTATCACGTCACTATTCATCAACTACTGCTCACAACCATATAAAAGTAGTCAAAAACTTACAATATATGGTTTTTTTATTCCTTTCACTGATATTCCTTTCAGTGATAGTATAACTTTCTGCACTCACAGAATAGGTGTCAGATCATGTCTATAACATGTATTGGATGTTGATTCGATGAACAAGGATTCCGAAATCGACATATCTCTTTCCACCTAAATACATTGGTCCTCAGTAAAGGTATCTTATTGCGTTCTATTGTATGATTATGTTAATGCATGCGTTGTAATATGTTTGTTTCTAGATTACAGTTCTTAATGGAATCCCTGTGTGCCAACTCCTTGTCTTGCCTGGTGACAAACAAGGAAAGTCGTAATGAAGAGGATAATAAGTATGAGGTAAAACAGGTGCTGCCAGTTGTTAGCATGAACTAAGATGTCTATCTCACGGAATGACAATCAACCATATATTTTGCCTCTCAGTGTTGAATGAAGTCAATCAGTCTATACAGGAATTTATAAAAATGAACCATATCGCAATGAACTGTGTATCAGTGAGGATTAATGCGTGACATAGTTTTATAATTTAGCAGACTCTCCAGGAGATTAATATAGTTTGTGAGAAGAATACTTTAACTGTGATATTGAATAAAATTACACAAA